CGTGGGTGATTCATTCTCAATGTTCCATTATTTCCTTGAATATTTATTATCCTTGTATCTATCTCATGTAACACTCATGTTACACTAATCTCATGTTACAACAAGTGCCTGATGCTCAATCATGTTACATGTGTAGCATTCAGCTTTACCTTCTTCCACAACTTTTTGTTTTCAAAAAATCTTATTGAGTATGCCTGTTCAAACACTGCACTAGAAATAGGGACTTGACTGTCGTAACATTCTTTCAAGACATTCATTTTGACTGATGATCACAGACCTTTCAGACAGACATTAAACCCAACATCTTGCAATAGAGTATTCTAAAAAAAATGAGATAGCTTTGAGTATTTTTATATGCACAGTGAGAATACCTTTTTCTATAAAGAAGCTGTTTCTATATGAAACAATGAATGGCCGCTGTCTTTGACTCTTATGCCAACCATAATGTAATGCATAAACTTTATGTTTTTTTTCCTTTTCAAAGTAGGCCTACATGCTCAGTGGTACTGCTTGTATTCAAAGCCATTGATCTGGTGAAAAAATTAAATAGGATTAAATAAAAAGTCAGATGAAAAGAATTTGATTTCCAGCAACATTGTTACAGTCATATCTTGTTACGGTGTGTTGAAGTTACAGTGGGCCACTAACATTTATAATTAGGATTGTATAATAAGTCAAATGTATAATTTGTTACTATTAAATGTTCTATTTATACGCTATGATATTCCCTGTTCTCTTGAAGGTCGGCTTAGTTTGGCATGAACAGATTCATCTTTTTTTTTTTATCTCTTTAAAACTAGAGAGCTCTATAAACTTTCTCTGTAGTATTTGTAGCGGTTTGAAGTTTAAAAAATTGTAATTGAATATTGACCTTGTTATTCCTTTCAGTTGCCCACTGTATAATTGACCTTGTTGTCCCATTCAGTTTCCCACTATATAATTTTGTGAATTAAAAGGAAGAGTTTATTATCTTCTGGGTTAAAAGGAAGGGATTCTTACTTGATGGGTTAAAAGGCAGGGATTCTGACATGATGGGTTAAAAGGAAGGGATTCTTATCTGATGGGTTAAAAAGAAAGGGATTCTGACATGATGGGTTAAAAGGAAGGGATTCTTACTTGATGGGTTAAAAGGAAGGGATTCTGACATGATGGGTTAAAAGGAAGGGATTCTGACATGATGGGTTAAAAGGAAGGGATTCTGACATGATGGGTTAAAAGTTAAAAGGAAGGGATTCTTACTTGATGGGTTAAAAGGAAGGGATTCTGACATGATGGGTTAAAAGGAAGGGATTCTGACATGATGGGTTAAAAGGAAAGGATTCTGACATGATGGGTTAAAAGGAAGGGATTCTTACCTGATGGGTTAAAAAGAAAGGGATTCTGACATGATGGGTTAAAAGGAAGGGATTCTTACATGATGGGTTAAAAGGAAGGGATTCTGACTTGATGGGTTAAAAGGAAGGGATTCTGACATGATGGGTTAAAAGGGAGGGATTCTGACATGATGGGTTAAAAGGAAGGGATTCTTACTTGATGGGTTAAAAGGAAGGGATTCTTACTTGATGGGTTAAAAGGAAGGGATTCTTACTTGATGGGTTAAAAGGAAGGGATTCTGACATGATGGGTTAAAAGGAAGGGATTCTTACTTGATGGGTTAAAAGGAAGGGATTCTGACATGATGGGTTAAAAGGCAGGGATTCTGACTTCATGGGTTAAAAGGAAGGGATTCTGACATGATGGGTTAAAAGGAAGGGATTCTTACTTGATGGGTTAAAAGGAAGGGATTCTTACTTGATGGGTTAAAAGGAAGGGATTCTGACATGATGGGTTAAAAGGAAGGGATTCTAACTTGATGGGTTAAAAAGAACTTGATATAAAAATATGTAAAAAAGATCAGCATTTTGCATATTATCTTTCATTCCTATTTTTCCCTTACAATTATAATTTACAATATTTAATAGTTCTTTTAAAATGTTGCATGAGGTTTAGGGTTAGGCTTAGGGTTAGGCTTAGGGTTAGGCTTAGGGTTATAGCTAGGGTGAGGCTTAATTATTTAAAGATTTTCCTGTGAGATTTTGTCTTTAGGTTGTGTGGACTCCATGAAGTGGGAGCCACTCACATGGATCTCTCAAATATCAATTCCAATACAATTTATGTTGAATAATGAGAATGTTATAAATATTTTAAAATAAATGTATAAAGAACTATACATTTTTAACTAAAAAACCTTGAATTGTAAATATACCGGAAGTACAAATATGTACCAGATTTTTTAGAATGATCATTCCTGGCATCTTAGTATAATCACTGATGACACTTTCTGTTTTATCCAAGATGTAGAGCCAAGAAAATGTGGTGGGATTAGCTCTCAAAACCGACTCTGATATTTGTTGAGTTTATTACCATTAAAATATTATTTTACATTGCCATTGCGTTAGCACCAATAATGGTGATATCATAGAAATATTTCTTGCTTGACTCTACAGCAGTGGTTATCAACCTTTGGGCCGCTCGACCCCTTTCACAGGGGTCGCCTAAGACCATCGGAAAACACATATACTCTACAGTTATTTACCAGCAACAAAATTAGATTTGTGGTTGGGGGTCGCCACAACATGAGGAACTGTTCTAAAGGGTCACGGCATTTAAAAGGTTGAGAACCACTGATGTACAGTGATGAATGTGACTCTATCATGGGAACTATTCATGTATACAATATACACCCACTCTCATATAAAATGGGGGGTGGGTCCTGGGATTAGGAGCCACTTTTATAAACAATTTATACAGAAATAAGCATTATGGGATTTTGAACCTTTTTTATTAAATTAAAAAAAAAAGAAATAAACATGGGATTTTTTAGCCATTTTTATTTTCAAAAATTATAAAGGATTACGCATTATGGGATTATGAGCCATTACAAAATATAAAGAAACAAGCATTAAAATAATTTTTTTTTTTTGTCAACTTGAATCATTGTGTGCCCCTAGATTACTGCCCCTAAATTACTTTCCCTGATTCTATGCTTTGTTATTGATGGGATTGTGCAATGATGTCATACTAATAATACCATTGTTGTTGTACCAGTATTAGGAAACTTACATTCTACTGAATTTAAACAGAATTTTGTTTAATGTTGGAGGAGCTTTCTGTTGACATTTATTATGTATGTGACCAACTTTCTCTTACCTTCATGTGGGAACTATTATCTATTATGGTTGGGTTTGGGTAGCACATTCAAATATGTTTATCACTACAGAGCCCAGGCTTATCACTACAGAGCCCAGGCTTATCACTACACAGCCCAGGCTTATCACAACACAGCCCAGGCTTATCACTACACAGCCCAGGCTTATCACTACAGAGCCCAGGCTTATCACTACAGAGCCCAGGCTTATCACTACAGAGCCCAGGCTTATCACTACAGAGCCCAGGCTTATCACTACAGAGCCCAGGCTTATCATTACAGAGCCCAGGCTTATCATTACAGAGCTCAGGCTTATCATTACAGAGCCCAGGCTTATTATTACAGAGCTCAGGCTTATCACTACAGAGCCCAGGCTTATCACTACAGAGACCAGGCTTATCACTACACCGCCCAGGCTTATCACTACAGACCTCAGGCTTATCACTACAGAGCCCAGGGTTATCACTTCAGAGCCCAGGCTTATCACTACAGAGCTCAGGCCTGGTACATAACTGGTTTGCGGGAAAAGTGGGAGGTGGGGGAGATTTTCATTTTTCAAAATTAGGTTATCTTGTTTGGCGAACTGTTAAATGACATATAGCTAAATGGTAAATGTTTGGCCAATTGTTAAATGACATAGCTAAATGATAAATGTTTGGCCAATTGTTAAATGACATATAGCTAAATGGTAAATGTTTGGCCAATTGTTAAATGACATATAGCTAAATGGTAAATGTTTGGCCAATTGTTAAATGACATATATCTAAATGGTAAATGTTTGGCCAATTGTTTATTTTCAGCATTGAGGCTGTCATTATATTATAATAACATGGAATTTGCTCTACAGCCGTATGGAATGTGCTCTACAGCCGTATGGAATGTGCTCTACAGCCGTATGGAATGTGCTCTACAGCCGTATGGAATGTGCTCTACAGCCGTATGGAATGTGCTCTACAGCCGTATGGAATGTGCTCTACAGCCGTATGGAATGTGCTCTACAGCCGTATGGAATGTGCTCTACAGCCGTATGGAATGTGCTCTACAGCCGTATGGCTGTCCTTAGAGAGTCATTTTAAACTTTCCCTCTTCATGAATACTGACTGTACTCAAGCTGTTACGGTACCTAAAAGAACCCTGATTGTTTCCACGAATCTGCTTTTGTTTTAACTTTTCTTGTTCATCCTAACGGGAATTTCCAGCGACCCCCCCCCCACCCCCCCACCCCCCAACATCCCGTTCTGCCTGGAAAATCTGCTTACCATGATGACATAACGTGAACGCATGTGCTCCAATCAGTATTTTATTCATTGGATCATTTCTTACGCACACACACACACAGTTGGATCAAGAGCCACATAACCACACACACACACACACACAAGCACGCACACACACACACACTCACGCACACACACACACAGACAGCTGATCATCTGAACTGAAACCGGTTTTGATCAACGCTATTACGTCATCATGAACAGGAAACACAAGTATCAACATAAACACGTGTGTATGAAATAAACAGACTTTTATTCAACGTTTTGTGCATAGACAGACTGACACAGTGCTGTGTAACACACGTGTTGTGTTGTATAGGCAGACTGACTCAGTGCTATGTAAAACGCTAGTGTTGTATAGGCAGACTGACTCAGTGCTGTGTAACACACGTGTTGTGTTGTATAGGCAGACTGACTCAGTGCTATGTAACACGCTAGTGTTGTATAGGCAGACTGACACAGTGCTGTGTAACATGCTAGTGTTGTGTTGTATAGGCAGACTGACACAGTGCTGTGTAACACGCAAGTGTTGTATAGGCAGACTGGTTGTATAGGCAGATTGACACAGTGCTGTGTAACACGCAATGATTGTGTGGTGGAGGTTTGATTGTGCCACAACACCATGCTACCGTCTCAGGTACAATTAACAAATCAGTTCATTGTTGCCCCAACCCCCAAAATTAAATTTAAAAAAGTTATAACCTAGGGGCTAGGACATTATGAACTAAACTAGCAAACGGGGGCTAGGACATTATGAACTAAACTAGCAAACTGTGGCTAGGACATTATGAACTATACTTGCAAACTGGGCTAGGACATTATGAGCTTAACTAGGACACTGTGTCAGGGCACTGTCAAGTAAACCCTGAGACTTAAGGCATTTTGAATGACAGAAAAGTGTGAATTACGAAATTTGCAATACAATCATTTTATTCCTGATATCAGTATATTTGACAGATGTATTATGACAGATGTATAATGACCGTTGTATAGAGACAGATGTATAACGACCGATGGAAACACTAATTTATATTTGCTTCATAATCATAGTTTGATAAATAAGAGAATATTCGCTAATGACTTAATATTTTTGCCTGATGACGGACCGATCGACCAAAGCGTTGCCTGATAACGGACCGATCGACCAAAGCGTTGCCTGATGATGGACCGATCGACCAAAGCGTTGCCTGATGACGGACCAATCGACCAAATCGTTGCCTGATGACGGACCGATCGACCAAAGCGTTGCCTGATGACGGACCGATCGACCAAAGCGTTGCCTGATTACGGACCGACCGACCACAGCGTTGCTTGATGACATTGCCTGATGACGGACCGATCGACCAAAGCGTTGCCTGATGACGGACCGATCGACCAAAGCGTTGCCTGATGACGGACCGATCGACCAAAGCGTTGCCTGATGACGGACCGATCGACCAAAGCGTTGCCTGATGACGGACCGATCGACCAAAGCGTTGTTGAAATCTTTTTTTTCCAAACTCATGTTTATGTTGAAGCCAACCTGTATGTGGCTATAAACTTTAAATATGAACATACACGTCTTACACATAGAAATTGCAAGTAAAACAGCACACGTGGTTTAGCTTGTGGAGAGTGCAGTCCAGGTTGATTGTTAGCTGGTTTATGCTGTGCTTTTAGATTTGGTGTAAAGCTCACACAGGGTTACCGGGCACGGTACCGTGAAGTTCACACGGGGGTGCCGTAATGGCGGATGAAATCCTTCATCACACAACTCAAAGCACCTTCCCCACTGACCTCGGGGCCTCTCTTGTTCTTAAGTTCCGAGGTGAGGACTTGTGCCATCCTCGGGTCTTCGTCCTCGCCCGCCGGAGATAGCTTCACCTGAGACCACGAGACGAGACTGTGGTTCGATTCAAAGTCGCCCGCCAACTCGTGGAACGTGTCGTTGACGCTGTGCCCGTAGATCATGGGCGTGTCCGGCCCACACTTGATCGGATCGACGCTGCTGCCTATCAGGATATCAATATTCGTGCTCTGAGCGTCGTCCACGGGGTCCACACAGCTGCCGTTGTTGATGTCGTACAAGGGAGACAGTCTCATGAAGGGGTAACAGCCCGCAGAGTCATTATCGCCCATCATCTCCCCGTGTCTGCCTCGTTGCATTCTGCAGTCGACGTTCTCCGCCATGTTGTGGGCGGTCACTTCCTTTATCTGATACGAATCCATTCCACTCGACCGCTTCGCAAAAATCTGCGGTGAGCAGTCGCTTTCAAGCAACGAGTTGCGGTCCCGGAGATATTTCGAAGTCTCGGGCGCGAGTCGCCGCGTTTCGGAGGAGTGCTGCTTGTTGGATGAGCTGTACGTGTCAGCGTTTGGTCGAAGGGTTTCTGACGAGTGGGCCAGTTCAATGTTGGACAAGGACACCAGCGATTGGTTGGATCTGCTGGCCGCCAAGGTGATGGTCGTGGAGGACGTCCCGAGGCTGGCGGAGATGTTGCACGCCGAGCAGGAACCGCTCAGGTAACTTCCGGAAACTTGGCTCTGCACGCAGCTGGCACTTCGAGAGCAGGAGCTTTTTGGTGAGCTCTTGGACCCCGAGCTGTCTGCAGCCTGGTTTTTCGACCTGTTATCCATGCCCCATTCGGGCACATCCTTGGTGTTACATGGGGCTTCATCTTTGTTGACACTGCAAATATCAAAGGCGTCGCCTTTAAGTTTTGAGCGTACAAATACCTGGACAGTTTCTTCGAAACGCTCGAGGAGGCTCTGAAAAACTGGCGTCTGACATTCTCCACCGTCCGCTTTATTTTCCGCTTTATTCTCCTTTGTTTCCGGTTTGCTGGTCAAGTCACCCGTGGGCTTGCCGCTCACCACCGGAGAACCGTAAACATCACCGTCAACGGAAGACTCGTTTCGTGGACACGTCTCTTCCTCTCGTTTTTGTTTCTCTGCACGGGCGTCGTCCAGCTCATTGGTCGGAGGCGTCGCCAAAACCAGCGAGTCTCCCGTTTCGCTGTCGATTCCCAGGGAAGTGACCGCGTTGTTCTCAGTCGCGTCTTTGGGGATGTCTTGCTTGCTGCTCGTCTCAAAGACGTCCGCCTCCTTGGCAAACTTTGGGCTCGTCTGCTCCTTGATGACCCCGGCTTCCCCAGCATCTTTGGCTGCGATTATTTGAGCAGACGTTGGGACCGAATACCTGTGCAGATCCGATGCTAAATATTCCGGCACAATTGGGCCGCTCAACGAGTACTTTTTCTGGGTGTATTTCTTATTCTCGATCTTCATCTCTTCACTGGCTCGCACTTTCTTAATCTCCTTGATGGCCCTCCAGCTGTCGTTGATGAAGTCAGTGACGACGGGGTGGCTCTCCGAGGTGGACTCGCCCTTTAGCGAGTAGCTCGTGTCGTCGTAAGGTGGAGGCATTTTGGCCGGGTCATCCACGTGCTGTTTCCTCCACGAGCTGTTGGTGGGCGGGCAGCTGATCTTTTTGATCTGCCGTATCCTCTGTTGAATCTCCGACTCGAGCTTGCTGTATATGATCGTTTTGGGGTAGCTCTGGTACATCGGGTTCTCCGGCCTTTTGACGTAGGCCGTCGAGGCGCGGAACTTGGGCTTGGACACGGCATTGACGTTCCAGTTGGACGACAAGCTCATCCTATAGTGGTAGCCCTCCTCGTGGTAGCTTCGCGCCTCTTTCCGGATCTCGTAGGAGGTTCCCAAATAGGTGTAGGGCGGCGTGTACAAACCGAACGTGTTGCACGACAAGCGGGTATCCCTGCAAGCGCCCATTGTGTTGCCGGGACGGCGGACGCTGCCGTAAGGTTCCGTGTTGTAGTTTTCATAACGCATGCCGGGACCGTAGCGGAACGGCGAATACTCGTAGGATATCGGAGCCGACACGGTGTAGGCGGCGCTGCGATCGTACGAGTCTGCGCCATAGTTGTTATTGAAAGACTTTTCAGTGCCAATAGCTGAGCTGTCGACGCTCAAGATGCTCATGGGAGACGTTTCTTGGAGGAACTGCAAGTTGTCATGCTGAGGGCTTAAACTAACCCCGCAGTTGGATTCGAGACCATTTATGGCGCTCGCGTTTTCATCAGTCGACTGCGCGGGCTTCTCATCCGTTGGCTTGGCCGGATTTTCACCAGGTGACTCCACGGCTGCTTCTTCGACCAGCGGTTTGGACTTTTGATCTTTTTTCTTCGGGCTAACTTTTTGAGAAGATGGATGTGGCGATTTCGGTTCTTGTTTGGGCTCAGGCAGTTCGTTGAGTTTGATCAGTTTTTCCACTCTCTCGCTCTTTTTTCTCGTTGACACCATCAGCTTATCGAGATACTCTCGCACGGGACTGCGCGGGCCGGTCCGCCGTAGACAGTGGGGGGCAAGTGAAATCTCACACCGAGGCTCCTTCTTGCAAGGGGAACTGTTAAATTCAATGATCTGATTTTTCTTATTTTTTTCATCTGGGGACAATGGTTTCCTGGAGTGCGTGTAGTTCTGACAGTCCGCGCAGAACGCTTTTCCTAATTCGGATGTGAATGGCAGACATGACCTGCAACCGCCACCAGTGCTACCGCATCCAAGACCCCCTATGCATCCAGTTCGTTTCCCGCCACCTGCACTCCCCGAGCCTAGTCCACCCGTTCCACAGCAGGACTTTCTGCAGCCGGTGTTGAGATAGGCGCTTAATTTGAAAGGTGTGGTGGAGAGCTCCGTGCACGGGGTCACGCAAAAACTGCCCCCCGTGCACACCGGGGGACAACATCGGGCAGGACCTTTGTTGTTGGTATACTTGTTTAAAAGCTGCTGACATATCGCGTCACCTTGCCTTGATTTCATGTAGCTTGAGTTGAACCCCGAGCAGCAAACTGGATTCATCTGGGCCAAGGACGAACAGCACGGCCTGTTGCTCTTGCTGGTGAAAGACAGTTTAGTCGGTGATGGGCAAGTGCACTTTCCACTCGGGCACGGGCAAGGGCTGCTTTTAACACATTTGGGTAGGGATGCATAGAGGCTGTAGTTTTGTGTCTTTGGGCAGTATGGCAAAACTTGAAACTTTCTTGGACACGGGAGGCAGCATGCCTTTGTGCAGCACGGTCCGCACTGCGTGGGAGAAATTTTGCAGCACTGCCTGACTTGTTTCGGGCATCCCGCCTTGTAGCAAGGCGGTGGGCTGCAGCATGTCGATCTGAGGGGACACAGGCAGGGTCGTGGGCAACTCCTCGATTTTCTCGTCATGGGGCAGCACGATTTCTGAGCCCTACTGCGTAACCGCCCGCATGGCATATCGCATGGCGAACAGCAAGCTAAACGGTTGGGAACGCAGCAGGCTACTGGGGACGGACTTTTCATCATGGTGGTGTGGAAACTTTGCGATCGGCACGGAAGTTTGCAGTAGCCAGGTGAGCACCGATGGGGGCTGTGGTAAACTGTTGGTAAATTATTTTTAACCGGCTTCCAACTCGTCGTGTTCCTACTGCAGGACATGGCTGGGCAGACTTCTCTCGTTCCTTCCTTATTTTGCTTGTCGCCGCAAATCGATGAAAAATCGCTCCTAGCTAATCTCGTAGAAGGTGCGGATATGGGGCACGGGGGGCACGAAGTTCGCGAGTACTTGTGTCCTAGACCGGTCTCTGTCGTTGGGGGTGGAGTAGCGCAGCGTCCACCGCTGTGGCCGGTTTTGGGGGCGTAGCTGAAGGAAGCGCACCGGAGAAATGAGTACTTGTGCCTGTAAGGTTTAAATATGGGACTGCACGAAGAGATGCTGGACGAGCAGCTGCCTTTCTTACTCTTCCTGGACTGGCTGCTTAAGTCGCTGTTTTCCCTTTTAAGATTGTGTAAACTCGATTTGGACGGACTGCCGTGGGAGCTGCGGTGCTTGTGCTTCCTTTTTCTGCCCCGCCCCCTCGAGGCTGAACTCGAATTGCTGGATGTCCACTTGGGGGACTTGTCTCGCCCTCTTTTCTTTTTCTCTTTCTCTTTCTCCTCGTGATTCTTCGGTTTGGATTCAGTTACCGACTCGGACTTCCCTTCGGGACCGGACTTCGGTGTGGTTACATGGTACGACGCCTCGTCGGGCGCCTCTGGCTTACCGTCGGCGTACCTGAATTTTTTATCCGGAGAGTCTCGACAGGATTCGGCTAGCTTTTCACAGCTGGTCCTCGAGGACCTTTCGCAGGCGAACTGCTTGGAGCAGATGCGTTGGATGGAGTGCGAGTAGCCTTCTTTAGAACGACAGATCTTTATCTCGAGAGGATCCTGTAACTGATCATCTACAACACTCGCGCAAAAGTCCTTGTCCTTTGCGTCGCCGGTGGTTCTCTTATTTAGCTTTCCTTTCGGACTGGCAAGTCCTAGAAGCTCGAGAAACCATCGCCAACAATCGAATTTTTTACAATCACACCTGTCGTCGCTGCACTTACAGTTCCCCTGCTTACGACACTGGGTGCAGTTTACTCCAGGAACGTTGTAGCCGCAACGATACCTCCCACAGTCGAAGCATGTGAGCTTATCTTTGGAAAAGTCGCACTTGTTTCCTCGGTCTACGCATGTTTGAAAGCATTCCATCTTAGGGCCCACCCCATCGACAATATTGAAAAACCATTGCAAGCGATATCGTTAAGGCCCGATGTCGCCATACAAGGAGATCAACATCATGGTTAAAAAAATGATCCACGAACTCTCGAACCGAGGCTGGAGTTGACCTGGAGCTAAGCACACAGCTCGACCTGGAGCTAAGCACAGTGTTTGTTATAAGCTACCCTTATTTCGTGTGGGTTATCAGAAGGAATCGTGCCGAACCCATGGGTTGAAATGTACTTACGCTCACATTTTGTTTAACATTATTTCTCAATTTTTATTCCAAGATGTGAAGAAGGATTTTTCTGATTAATTTTGGGCGGTTTGACTCGGATGTTGTTTATTTTGATTCGAGAAACCCCCTTGATGGTGTATCTATCATGGACTCCCAGAGAACGTCATACGCACGGAAACGTCATCGCTATTGGTGCTGTTTGGCGCTATAGCTTAGAGATTAATACGCAATGTTTTAGGAGATGCTCATAGAAATTGTGGACGATGGTTTTGATCACAACAAAACAAAGCTTTGCTTCACTTTTTTAAAATTTTATTTTAATGAGGCCGGATTTAGGAGGAAGTGTTTTTATGAAAGCGTCATTTGCGCCATTCTGAGTGATGGTATTTTATATTGATCTATTACCCCCCGCCCCCACCCCCCGAAAACATAATGCATTTTTATTTAGTTGCAATTTTCACCTTGCGCCACCTTTAATAAATGAGGAAACAACAGTTATTTAAAAGAAAGCACCAAGCCCAATAAAACAAAACAATAAAACTCAAATTCATACAAATTGTGACAAATCAAAGAGACGGAATTACAGCCTCTAATCGATCATTTTAAACAAAACAACAACCACCAAAAATATCGGGTAATTCTTCACATCCTAGGAAATCTTGTCTTAAGTCTTGAGAATAAAATGATAACAATGATAATTCATCGAGCTACGGATTGTGACGTATTGTCTATATAGATGCCCCGGACTGTAAACTGTACAATCTCGTTGACTGCGCGGAATTCTCGTGAGAGTACACAGGTTCGCAGTGACGTCAACACTTAAGATAAGATAAGATTAGATTCTTTTATTGATCCAAACAAATGGAAATGTTTGACGATTGCATTGTACATTTTTCAGCACACAAATAAAACAATTTGAAAAAAGGAAATTTATATTAATTAATTATTTCACTTGTAAAAAAATATTTACAAAAAAACCCAGCCATTCAGTGAGTTCTCTCATTCAGTGAGTTCTCTCATTCAGTGAGTTCTCTCATTCAGTAAGTTCTCTTAGCCAAATCGGGGACTTGTTAGTTCTGATTAAGATTTGTGACTTCTGGGGGAGCACGCTGGTAAATTCGTACAGATTTGGGAACAAAATAATTTTTATATCTTTCAGTCCTCGCCCTGACGGAAAGAATTCGCCCCGAACGGGCCGATTCTAAGTATCTGTGCTAAAGAGGGTGGGATGTATCATCCAAAATGTGTTTAGTTTTACAAAAACATCTTTCTTCAAATAGTTCTTCAAGTGAAGGATGTTTAGTTTGTGTTATGTCCCTAGGTTTCTTGATTAGTCTGTTTTATGCGGTGTTTAATATCAGACGATGAATTCCCACACCAGCAGGTAATACTGAAATTAAGTAGGCTTCCAATTGTTGCACTGTAGAATAAGTTAACGACTTGTTTACGCCGAAATTGTACAGTTTTTTGAGGTAGAACAGTCTTTGGTTGAATTTCTTATGCAGTATTTTGTTCTGCTCATGCCATGTTATCTTATTATTAATGGTGACAACCAAGTTCTTATATGCCTCTAATTTCTCTACACTTTGATTTTTTATATTGAGATCTGTAATCTGGTGTTTCCCAATCATGAAATCAACAACCATTTCCTTTGTTTTTGAGACATTCAGCTGGAGAAAATTTTCATCGCACCAATTGATAAAGCTCGTAACTAAGTTACGGTTTATGCCTTCTCCTTCAGATATTAAGCCAACGATGATGGTATCATCAGCAAATTTTACGATTGGAACGGTGTCGCTTGAGCTTTGAATATATCATTTGTATATAGTGTATACAGTACAGGGGAGAGAACGCAGCTTTGTGGTGCCCCGGTGCTTATGTCTCTGGTTAGAGATAATTGGTTATTTACCTTGACATATTGTGGTCGATTTGTTAAAAAGTTCAGTATCCAAGCCTGAATATTTAAATTTGCACCTAACGAGGAAAGTTTATTTATCATAAGGTGTGGTTGGATAGTGTTAAATGCTGATGAGAAGTCTAAGAATAGCACTCTGGCATACTTTTTTAGGATTGTCTAGGTCAGGGGTCGGGAACCTATGGCTCGCGAGCCAGATGTGGCTCTATTGATGGCTGCATCTAGCTCGCAGACAAATGTTCGATTATAAAAAAAAAAATGTCGCATTAATGGTAAGAAATACTCATTATTGATTAGCAACAGCATAACAATGTTATTAAAAAGAATTCAGAGACATAATAATTAGTGCATTTTTAGTGTTGAAATTACACAGAATGCACACATTTTCTTGAATTTTTAGTTTCAACATAATGTATGGCTCTCACAAAATTACTTTTCAAAATATGTGGTGTCCATGTCTCTCGCAGACAAAAAGGTTCCCGACCCCTGGTCTAGGTGATGGTGAAGTCTCGCCAACAAGAGAAAGATACCATCCTCCGTACATCTGGCAGGTTTGTAAGGAAATTGGTGGGGGTCAAGTTTTGGCTCTACTTCATTCATTTTTTGTCTCAGAATTAGTTTCTCAAAAAAATGTCATAGAGGTAAGTGCAACAGGTCGTAAGTGCAACAGGTCGTAAGTGCAACAGGTCGTCAGTGCAACATGGCGTAAGTGCAACAGGTCGTAAGTGCAACAGGTCGTAAGTTCAACAGGTCGTAAGTGCAACATGTCGTAAGTGCAACAGGTCGTAAGTGCAACAGGTCGTAAGTGCAACAGGTCGTAAGTGCAACAGGTCGTAAGTGCAACAGGTCGGTAAGTGCAACAGGTCGGTAAGTGCAACAGGTCGTAAGTGCAACAGGTCGTAAGTGCAACAGGTCGTAAGTCGTTGTTGCCAGTTACCTTATTTCTGAAGTTTTCCAAATTGTTGTTACTGTGTAAGTTAAATAAGATTTATTGAAAATGTAACACAAAATGTCGGAGAGCTGCTCTGAGCCTAATGAGCCGACCACTTAATTTGCGTGGTCCCAAGGCCTGGGCTGCGTCCACTTCTTTAACTAATGACATCCTTCCCTGTTGCATATGTAAGTAGAGTAACATACGACCTTGAGACATTAAAAAACGATTGTTCACTAAGGCATATGTTGGTTGATTGGGACCAAAATTGAACAACCCTTAAAAACAAAGTTTTCGTATGAGTCCTTTACAAAACGTAATATCGAGCAATTGGGGGTGGGGGTGGATGGGGGTGGGGGGTGGGTTGGGGGGGTTGTGGTGGTGGAGTTGAAAATTTGACAAAACATGCATACAAGTAACGCAATGTATAAAAATCCCCCCCCCCACCCCGGCACAAGGCTCGCAAACGCAATTTTATCGTCACGCCCCTGAGCTATCTTGATATTCTAATGACCCCCCCCACCCGCTTTCACAATTCAGATTTATTTCACCAACAATTAAAGAAAAAAAAATAGCAACAAATAATACGCACAGAACGCACTTGTGCTATTCTTGAAAAAGAATCTCATTTGGTGCAGTTACCGGACATTGGGTTTATCTTCCCCTTGATAAACAGGAAAAACTGAATTTTTTGGGGAGTGGGGAGGGGGGGGTGGAGGAGGGGTGTTGGGGCTGAAAATTTAAAAGAATCTGTTGTCGTCGGCATCGAGGCTATGTGCCAAGTTTTCGTTCGATAGCTTGACGGGAAGTTGGTCAATTAGCCATCCGAAGATTTTGCCACCCAGCCAGTCAGCCAGACAGCCGCCCACGAACAAAAGCGAAGTTAATAGAAAGGATTTGACTAAATACTTGGTAGAGAAGCAGGCTGATTGCTACGAGGTGAAGCGTAACTAGCACTAGGCAGAGACAGAGGCAGATGCATTATGTAAAATTGTTTTCAGAAGTCGATCAAAGACTTTGTTACGGGAGTATGAAGGAGAAAATATTTTTTAAAACAACNTTTCGTTTAACGTTTACAGGAAAGAAAAAACCCCCCCCCCCCGAAAAGAATGATTAACAGCAGACGTAATCAAGCGAAAAACATCAAGGGATTGTTACCAACATAAAAAAATTTAATGACGCCAGAGCACACAATGTTAACGTAAATGAGAAGTGTCGGTGAGAACAAACACAGAAATATCTTAATTTACTTTAATTGTGATGGGGGCACATCTCATTAGATGTATTTGCGAAAATTGGCTGGCAAATTTCGAACGGAAAATTTCATTAGTACGGTAGATAAATCGACAACTAATGGCTGACCAAAAAAGAACATATCTTGAAAAAAAAAATAATTATCAAATACAGAAATAAACGAAATACTGATGAGGTTGTAATCATTTATAATAAATTTAAAAAAATGTTTAAACAAAAATATTTCATTTTAAAAATATGTTTTAATTACCCACGACAGCTATGGCCGCAGATCGATCTATCAATTAATAATAATCAATACTTTATTTTTTTGTTGACTACAGTCATTAACAATAATACATCGGTTATATTGTTTAGCTTCCTCCTAATTAAGGAAATACTTTTTTTTAATTGTTGAGATTACGTTAGAGTTTTGAATCAACAGGATGAATGTGTGTTAATATGCCGGGGACGTGTGCTTGTGGTGACGTGTGCTTGTGGTGACGTGTGCTTGTGGTGACGTGTGCTTGTGGTGACGTGTGCTTGTGGTGATGTGTGCTTGTGGTGATGTTTGCTTGTGGTGACGTGTGCTTGTGGTGACGTGTGCTTGTGGTGATGTTTGCTTGAGGTGATGTGTGCTTGTGGTGATGTGTGCTTGTGATGTGTGATTTTGGTGATGTGTGCTTGTGGTGATGTGTGTGTATTTTTTGGCGTGTGTATATGGTGATTTGTATATGTGGTGTGTGTATGTATTTAGTTAAGTGTCTGTATGTTGTTTTTTTGTGTGTTGTGATGATGTATGTGAAATGTTGATGTGTGTATACTGTGATGGATATATATGATGATGTGTGTGTCTGTTGTGCGTATACGGCGTGTGTGTGTGTGGTGTATGTATGTGGTGTGTGTACATGTGGTGTGTACATGTGGTGTGTGTACATGGGAGTGCGTATGTGGTGGATGATGTTTTGTGCGTATGTGGTGAAGATAGGAGCTGCTATGGCCCCAAAATTTGTTTTCTGTATCCACTAACGTCCAGGGCGTATCCAAGAGATTGGATTGCTCCTTCTTTT